CTCTGGTCTCCGTCTCGATCCTCTGAAGCAGTTGATTGACCAAGCTCCCTCAGCGAAGCTTTGAGCCGAGCAATCCGCTCCTCGAGATCTTCAATCTCTTCTTCCTGGTCTTGCAACGAGCGATCGATATCCGGCAATGACAAGACGGCGCGTCTCGCCTTTTGTATCTTCAGCCGGACATCGTTTGCAGCGGTAGCGACGTGCTGGATTTCCAGAGGCCCGTCTGGCGAGAGTTGCGCGGGCGTGGGAGTCGCGGGTGGCGGCTGAGCCGATGTCTCGAGAATGCGCTTGAGCAGCTTATGGAGGTCGGGCAGGACGTCAAAGGCAGAGGGCGCAGGGGGTGCCGGTGTGGTTGCGGAAGCCGGGGGTGGATGGGCTGGTGTGGCTGCGCCTGTGGGTGGAACTGAGGCTCGCGCCGATGCAGGGGCGTAGGGCGTCGCTGCTGCCGACATGTCTACGAATTTCCAAGAGTATTATCCGGATGGACGTGTCTACACTACTAGCGTGGTGTTGACCGGACACAGGTGATGGCTTGACCGAGGCCGCTGATTGGATAGAGTTTACTTGATCCAGCTCTCGCAGTAGCTTTCTGTGACAACACGTGTTTTCTGGTGATCACAGTATTCACCGGATCTGCGCGAATCGTGTCGCGTACTGGATGGAGGTCGAGACGAGGTTCCGGCCGCGGGTTGTGGGGGGCTATTGCATTGGTTGCTGCGAGAGGGTGATGGGGTGACGTTGGTCGCCTATGCTTTTTCCAAACTCCAAGGTCGACTTAGCCCCACCAACCCTGCCCCTCCGCCGATAACTAAATTCAACACCTTTTCCTTCGCGTCGTTCAATCCACCTTATCCAACTTTGTTTTTGGGTTCCTCATCCTCCTTTGTACTAAGTTTCCTGGTTAGTTCGCAATCATGGCCAAGGTCGACCAAAAGGCCGTCCTCATCGTCATCGACGGCTGGGGTGTTGCGACTGAGAAGTCGCGCAAGGATGGCGATGCCATTCTTGCAGCAGATACCCCTACCATGGACGAGTTTGCGCGTCAAGGCTCGAAAACTGCTCAGGGATACACCGAGTTGGAGGCCTCGTCTCTCGCAGTCGGTCTGCCCGAGGGCCTGATGGGCAACAGCGAAGTCGGCCACTTGAATATCGGCGCGGGACGCGTTGTATGGCAGGACTCTGTCAGAATTGGCCAGACCATCAAGAACGACAAGCTCAAGGACGTCGGCAACATCAAGAAGTCGTTCCAGCGCGCCATTGACGGAAACGGAAGGCTGCACTTCTGCGGTCTCGTTTCGGACGGAGGCGTACACTCCCATATGGACCACCTCATCGCTCTCCTCAAGGTCGCAAAGCAACAGGGTGTCCCCAAGGCATACATCCACTTTTTCGGAGATGGCCGAGACACCGACCCAAAATCGGCTGTAGGGTACATGGAGACTCTGCTCAAGGCGACCAAGGAGATTGGTCTCGGCGAGATCGCAACAGTAGTCGGCCGTTACTACATCATGGACCGTGACAAGCGCTGGGACCGTGTTGAACTGGGAATGAAGGGTCTCGTTACCGGAGAGGGCGAAGAAAGCAGCGATCCAGTGGCCACTATCAAGGAGCGCTACGAAAAGGGCGAAAACGACGAGTTCTTGAAGCCCATTATTGTAGGAGGAAAGGAGCGGAGAATACAAGGTAAGTGACTAGATGGAGTACCTGCATGTCCTCTTACTGATTTGTCCGTTTAGATGACGACACTGTCTTCTTCTTCAACTACCGTTCCGATCGTGTGCGTGAGATCACCCAACTGCTGGGCGATGTCGACCGCTCGCCGAAGCCCGATTTCCCATACCCCAAGAATATCCACCTCACGACCATGACATCATACAACCCCAAGTACACATTCAACGTTGCCTTTGAACCTCAGCGTATGACGGATGTTCTTGCAGAGACATTGGGCAAGCAAGGCGTGAAGCAGTGCCACGTTGCAGAGACAGAGAAGTATGCTCACGTCACCTTTTTCTTCAACGGCGGTGTCGAAAAGCAATTCGAGAACGAGGAGCGCGAGATGGTACCATCGCCCAAGGTGGCTACGTACGATTTGGAGCCCAAGATGAGCGCAATGGCGGTTGCCGACAAGCTCTGCGAGCGTATCCAAACTGGCAAGTTTGAGTTCCTCATGAACAACTTTGCCCCACCAGACATGGTTGGCCACACTGGAGTATACAAGGCAGCCATTGAGGCGTGCACGGAGACGGACAAGGCTATCAAGAAGGTCTATGATCAGTGCAAGGAGAGCGGATACGTCTTGTTTGTCACTGCCGACCACGGGTAAGTTGGGGAATTTTGCTTGGTACAAAGAAGGAAGAAGCTGACAGATTGACAGTAACGCTGAGGAGATGCTTACTGAAGAGGGAACGCCCAAGACTTCCCACACAACCAACAAGGTGCCGTTTGTCATGGCCAACGCGCCCGAGGGCTGGAGTCTGAAGAAGACTGACGGTGTACTGGGCGACGTAGCGCCCACGGTTCTTGCAGTCATGGGTCTCCAACAGCCAGAGGATATGGACTGCCACAGCTTGCTCGTCAAGTCGTAAGGCATTGAGGATGTGTACATTCTCTGCCCAACAATTTTCGCATTTTGTTTAGCTGTCAGATGCACCTGACGCTACGACCGTTCATGGTAGAAACTAGAGAACACTAGATCAACAGAAATACACAGAAATCTGGTTGTCGCAAAGTCGCGGCTTGCATACATGCAATGTATACAACGCTTTAAATGTCTACGGTACACTATTCTCGCTACAAGGTTCGGCAGTGTAGCTAGTGTGTAGGCCTGGCTACCAATCAAGATATGGGCTGTCTTGGCAGCACCAGGGGTTGAATCATGGTGGGGGACTTGGTGTGGGCCCCTCCCTACAAGCTCCCAGCAGGCCCTCGTCACCCATTACGACAAGCTTGTTTTTCAGCTGCTGGTTTGCTTCACATATATTCTATTATATAACCTCGATAGGAGACCCTGCCAGTGCAGTAAGCACCATCATATCTCACTGCAAGAAAGAAGGCCCCCCGCCGCCTGCATCACAGGGCTATCTGCATTGAATAGCAAGCCCATCGGGCACGCCGACGCTTCACCTACCAAACCTTCGTTATACCGTCGATACCCAGCCCAAGACCTCAACACCCAACCGCACCCTCGCACCGCTTTACGATAAATTCGCTGGTCGCACACTTCAGACACCGACTAAAGCGCAAACATGGCCACCAAGACTTCCAACGGTGGGTCTGGGGCGCAGGCACCGCAAACACCCCAGGTTCAGCCTTGCAGATACAAGACGGGCAAGACTCTAGGTGCGGGCAGCTACTCAGTCGTCAAGGAGTGCGTGCACATCGATACAGGGCGATACTATGCCGCAAAGGTCATCAACAAGAGGCTTATGGCTGGCCGAGAGCACATGGTGGGTTGAATAACTGTCGACTGGAGGGCGCATTCGCTGACACGTGCCAGGTCAGGAACGAGATTGCAGTATTGAAGAGGGTATCTATGGGCCACAGGAACATCCTTACACTCGTTGACTACTTTGAGACGATGAATAACCGTTTGTCTCAACTCCTTCGGTACTGCGATCTGCGCTAACACACGAGCAGTCTATCTCGTCACCGACCTTGCGCTTGGAGGCGAGCTCTTCGACCGCATCTGTCGTAAAGGAAACTACTACGAATCCGATGCTGGCGACCTGATCAGGGCTACTCTTTCCGCAGTGGCATATCTCCACGACCATGGTATCGTGCACCGAGATTTGAAGCCGGAAAATTTGCTGTTCCGAACCCCAGAGGACAATGCTGATTTACTTATCGCCGATTTTGGACTTTCTAGAATCATGGACGAGGAGCAATTCCACGTCCTCACAACGACCTGCGGTACGCCAGGCTACATGGCGCCTGAGATTTTCAGGAAGACGGGTCATGGCAAGCCAGTGTAAGAACAAAACGACTTTGTGAAAGATGTACCACTGACCGGCTTATAGCGACATTTGGGCTATTGGTGTTATTACGTATTTTCTCCTTTGTGGCTATACCCCCTTCGACCGCGACTCGAATCTTGAAGAGATGCAGGCCATCTTGGTTGCCGACTATTCTTTTACCCCTCTGGAATACTGGCGAGGCGTCTCACTCACGGCGCGCGAGTTTATTCGTCGATGCTTGACTGTGGATCCTGCAGCGCGCATGACCGCTCATGAGGCTCTTTCCCATCCCTGGATCACCGAGCTCGGCAAGAACAATGCTGATGGTGAAGAGGATCTGCTGCCAACTGTCAAGAAGAACTTCAATGCTAGGCGCACACTTCACGCTGCTATTGACACGATCCGCGCCATCAACCAACTCCGAGCTGGTGGCGCTGCGGGTATGATGGACGGTCAGCGGTCAGCGGAACCCCGACGGGGGGCGCCCCACGCGCGCATTCCCCAACCGGCAGATGAGCCCGACGACCCGATGGAGATTGATAGCAGGGGAAATGGCCACGGTCAGACCGAAGAAATGATCCAGGAACAAGAGCGGAGAATCAGGGAGACACAGCAGGGATTGTGGGGAAAGCGCTGATATTTGAGTCATTGCTTTCAAGGTCGATCACCTTCTCATTTTTCAGCACACAGACCAGAAGCGATTTCCATTTGATTTTTTCCCATGTAGATGTTGTCTGGCTACACATCATTCTTGGATAGACGGCGACTTCAATTTAAGTTTGGCATGATATCGTATGAGCATATTACTTGATATAGCCTTTGATAGTCACCTGGGAGCGTACCAGCTGGGAAAAACCCTCGATTACCGTTATGTCAATCTTCTTGCACTGTCTAAATGTTATATATATCCCTACATCACATCCCCAATATTCTCACTAGTTCCTGTGACCTGCAATCCCACTGCAGTCTTCGCTACGTCAGCGCTCATTACCCAATGCTTCTCTCTGGAGAATGTACCTTAGAATCGAAGGAAATGCCTGTAAAAGTCTAAGCGAAATTGTTATCCGTCTGCACCCCATCTGTGCCATTCTGTGCCTCTTGACCCCCTCTCTCCCTATCCACAACAACACCCCCCGCCTTACGCCTACTCTCCCCCAGCGCCTTGATCAACGCAACCGTAACCTCCCACCCCTCCCTCAACTTCTCCTCACTACTCGTCAAATCGGGAACATGCAAAAAGATGACCGGACGCTCATCCTCCTTGATACTATAGTAATGGGCAAGACTATTATAATAAATAAACCCACACAAGAAATTCCCCGCATCAGTACTAATCCTCACATCTGGGCCTTTTGTGCTACCAATTTCAGAAACAGAGGAAGAAGAAGGAGATTTCAAGGATTCCTTCCAACACGCCAGCACATCCGTCGTATCAAAACCCGTTGACAGCATACTTGGAAACTTTGAAGCTGGAAATTGCAATTCAGCGCTCTCATCGTCGAACCGCTGACGATCCACGTCGGCGATGTTACCGTACCCGCGGCTCCGCGAGCCTTGCTCGATGGCGTAGTAGTTGCGGCCCGCAGCGAGTCCAATGTGCAGGATTATGTCTGGTGACGGGTTCATGGGATTTCCTGGGGGAAGCAGGGTGGGGATGAGATTGAGGACGGTGGCGTAGGCGACGCGGATGGGTTCGTGGTGGACATGGATGTGGATGGGGGTTTTGTTGGTGGGTGAAGAGGGGAGGAGGCTGGGGAGGGTGGAGGCGATTTCCCAGGAGGAGTTCTTGGGGAAGCGGGTGAGGAAGGGCTGGGGGGTTATGTTAGTTTTGTGGGGGTTGTGAATAGAATGGGTCGCGTGACCAAGAGGTGTCAAGGTCGGTCAAGATGGAAAACGATGGGGAGGGTGAGGTTGGGATAATGAGTTGTATGGACGATGACATACGCCAAATCCAGTGACTAGCACTGTCACTGGCTTTTCGCCTTGCTCGCTTGGGGGCTGCGGCGCAGCATATGATGGTGCCATGGACGGATCGGAGTTTATCGGGGGTTGTGCTCGCAGCAGATGATCAACAGGACTTCGAGGCTACAAACTCGTACGTTAATACTACCCAGTTTACAAGGCTAACCGTTCCCGCCCGTTCCAAGTGCCCAGGCTATCCTCTTACGCATCAAAGCCATTTGAACGGGATCTCCCTTCCAATGATGACCGGGTCTTTCCATTGAGATATGGCGGGCAACCGTTTTCAGGGCCCCACCAAACATATCGGAGAGTTCAAAACTTACGTGATACTGGACGTGTGCGTTTTATGTGGGGAAAATCCACGAGTTTCGGAATTTCCGGAGGTTTTAAAGGAATAGTTCTTGTGGCTATTTTTTACAGCAACGGCTTCGATGAGAGTAAGTTATCGATGTCGTGTCGTTGAATGAGGGGCTAGCCGAATGCGTACAATGCTCATACTTATCTAGGTTGCCCCTACCGCGACACTGCAGATGATTGCTTGCACTAATCCCATGTACTCACCGGACCTTGACAGCCCGGAGTAAGCCCTGGTGTAAAGACTGACAGTTCAAAGTCACTAATACTACATTCAATGTTGCTTATAGTAGGCTAGCCGTGGTTTTTGCTGGTATCATGACGACACTTACTATCCCGCCATTCTGGCGCAACCAAGAGCGAGCATCGCAACAGCTTACTTATCGCCGGAACGGAGCCGCCAGCCCCACATGAGCATGAATATCCATAGACCTTCACCCCGCATCGGAATGAGGCACCTCTACCTCGGTGTTATATCTGGTGCTGCATAATGTGTTCTTATCCACCGCGACGTTTCACTCGTAGCCAACCATAATACCATCGGCTTTCCCATGCAATTGCCGGCGCTACGGCAAACTTAAATAAAGTATTAGTGACGTTCATGGTCTCACCCCCCGTCGGCAATAGTACTTACCGGTCCGAAAGGCTGCCGTACAAAGTGTTTGGACAATACCATGTTGAGCTTTTTACCATCTACCATTGCTTACTTTCGGCTCGTGAGTCAACCGTGAAAAATCTAGCCAAGGCAATTCCTCGACCGTGGCTTCATGCACCTCATGACCATGGCATCTACAGACTCACCCTCGAAGCCTTACTCCATCGCCATAGTCGGCGGTGGCATATCTGGACTCGCGCTCGCGATTACCCTCCTGGAACACAACGTTCCCCTCACTATCTATGAAGCCGCATCGCATTTTGGCGAAATTGGCGCTGGCGTGGCGTTTGGGCCCAATGCGGGACGCGCAATGGAGCGCATGTCGCCAAAGATTTATCAGGCGTTTCTGAAATGCAAGACTGGGAATGCATATGATTCAAAGGCAAATTCCTGGTTTACCGTTCGCGTGGGAGATGAGAGAAAGGCGGATAAAGATGGTTATGTGCGTGAGGGCAAGAAGGTGGGCGATCCGCTGTTTGAAATCCTTCTGCCCCCAGGTGGAGAACGCGGGGGTGTATACAGAGCTCACTTTCTGGACGAGTTGATCAAAGACATTCCGGATCACGTGGCGAAATTCAACAAGAGGCTTGTCGATATGGAAGAGGCGGATGACGGATCTGGTGACATGGTACTCAAATTCGCCGATGGTTCCACAGCACAGCATACTGCCGTCATTGGGTGTGACGGAATCAAATCTCTGGCGAGAAAATGGGTAGTTGGAAGAGACAACCCTGCGTCCAGAGCCGTCTTCTCAGGGAAATATGCATACAGAGGACTGGTACCCATGGACAAAGCAGTCGAGCTACTCGGCGACGAAGCCGCCAGAAACAGTCAAATGTTCCTAGGCTATCACGGTCATCTCCTTACATTCCCCATCTCACACGGTAAAATTATGAACGGTATATCTCAACTCCTCCCCCTTCTATCTCAATAAAACAATCCCTCACTAACAACCACAGTCGTCGCATTCCGCTCCCGCAAAACCTGGGACTCGGAAAAATGGGTCGTCACAACCTCCAAACAAGACATGGAAGCCGACTTTGCAGACTGGGGCCCGCATGTGCAGAAGATTGTTGGCGCAATGCAAAACCCAGATATCTGGGCTTTATTCATGCATCCGCCCTGTGAAACATACACCAAGGGCCGCGTCTGTTTGCTCGGCGATGCCGCGCACGCAACGACCCCGCATCAAGGTGCCGGCGCGGGAATGTGCATGGAAGACACGTATATACTCTCTGGTCTGGTCAAAGATGCCAACAGCACGGAAGAGCTTATACGCGCGTTTAAGGCGTTCGATGAGGTGAGGAGGGAGAGGACACAGAAACTTGTTGCGACTAGTTATGAAGCGGGGCAGCTGTATGATTTTGAGTTGGTAGGGGATGATGTGGATAAGATTGAGGAGAACTTCTCGAAGCGAATGCACTGGATCTGGGATTTCGATTTGGAGGCGCAGCTGGGGCTTGCACGGGAGATTATGAAGAAGTGAGGTTTTTGGGTGGGTTTTGTATTGAACTAAGCTAATGAGCGGAGGGGCTGAGTTGCGGTGTCGTTTTGCAAAAACAGCTAATCTATGACATCGTCTCTCAATGAGAAGATTTGCTTGAGTACCTCGTCTGTCTTTGCGCCGATGCCGTTGTGGTACATCGTGTTTGTTATGAAGGGCTTGCAGCCTTTGATCGTGCTGGCCGTCTCCATACTCAAGTTGAAGTCTACGTACATGTCATCCATGTACACAGCTGCATATGACGGTACCTCATTCTTCTTCAGCTGCTCCACATCGTATAGCTTTGGCCAGTCCTTTTCTGCGGCCAGCAACTCCCCTACTTTCTTGAGTTTCTTGAGCTCAGGGTAGCAGTCGAACATGAAGGGATAAATCATCTCGCCAGTAAAGTAGACTGGATCTTCCGAGTCAATGCGGGAGAGAGAGAATTCGGGGTGTTTTTCGAGCATGCGTTCAGCGGACCAATTCGCAGCTTGGCCTTGGCAGTAGATGGGTTCGTGGAGCAGAGCGTAAATGACGTTCGTGTCCCAGCTTTGTGCTGCTTCGAGCGCAAGCACAGTCGGACGCGTCAAGTGACCGAATTGAGTGAGATCCGTGTCCGCACGGAGAACGAAATTGTGTACATCGTCGAAGCCGCCGTGCTTGCCAAAGTAGATGCCCAGTTGGAGGAAACGGCGTGCAGAGAGGTGGCCCTCGCCGCCTTGGACGCGCACTGTGGTATCACCGAAGCGGGAGAGCAATTTGACGATGCGTTTGACTCTCTCCACATCCTCTGGGTATTTCTGGTAATAGCCTTCGTTTCTGCTCTTGACACGTGCATACAGCCGCTCGTAAACTTCGTCTGCATTGTCTCTCAATGGTGGCAAACCCCCAAACAAGAACGCTTCTTTGACACCTTCAGGGTAGAATGAGAGATACGTTGTGCAGCAGAAACCGCCAAAGCTCTGGCCCATGATGCTCCATTTCTTCTTCTCTTCGGGATAATCAGCTGTCAATGCTTTCCTTACAGCCTCACAGTCCTTGACAATGCTGTCAGCTCTGAAGCTCTTCATGTAGTCTGCCTGCACTTTCTCATCACCTCTCAGCTGCAGACTCGACTGGCTAATGGCGGTTGACAGGCCAGTTCCACGCTGGTCCAGTAGGAGTACCTGGTACCCTTTATCGAGAATCGTGTGCGTCCAGGATACATTCTGAGGCGACTGGCATTCAAATCCCGGGCCACCTTGTAGGTAGATGAGCCATGGAAGCTGTGTCTTGGCTTTCTCGAGGTGCGACGTTGGCGTGTACTCCGCTGGCTTCTCGGCTTTTAGCGCTGAGCGGGCGAAGAGTTGGATTGTTCCCAGGGATGGATTTGCTTTCGGAATGTCAATAGATACATGACTCAAAGAATTCCAGATGATTCATTTCCGAGTGTGTTAAACAGAACTCCACATACAGTAGTCACGGGGTACTTGGAAGAAGTGCTCCGTGATTCGAAGCTTGCCTGTATACAATTATGAGCGAAATGTGAAGAGAGACGGAGGAAATCATACCAGGTATGAGGTGGCTCCTCTGCTCGAGAATCTTCGCTGCTTGAATCATCTTGCGAATTGCTTACGTGGAGAGGAGAAAGGTGGGGAGTGAATGTATACAATGTTATCGATAAGCCCGAACGTTCCGTAATGCCTGCTCCAAATGAATGGCGGGGTGAACAATAGTATGTCATCAGGCAGTATGCACCCGGACGCTTGTGCATAGCAAAGTCGGTTATGTAGTTTATTAGGTCATCATCATTGTTTTCTTCTGCCATCGTCGCAGTGGCTGGGCAGCTCCAGAGTATCAGAATTGAGATTCAAAAATTTCCAACTACGTACTGAGGGGCAAATCGCGGGGGTTCGCCAGCCCACAAAACCACAAGCGTGACAACATTTCACAGCACACCTCATCTGATCGACTCCAATCTCGGAATTGAAAAATGGCCAAGGACAAGAAAAAAGCATCTGGTGGCAAGGCCGCCGCCAAAGCAGCTAAAGCAGCTAAGCAAGAGAAGAAGGCAGGCAAAAAAGATAAAAAGCTTGCATCCAAGACACAGGAACTCGATTCCGATGCGGAGGATGTTGATCTTGACGCGATTCTGGCACAATATGCAAAAGAACAGGAGCAACATCATGCCATCACTGAAATTGCTGCTGAACCGCCATCCGCACGAACATCATGCACTCTCCTGGCTAACCCGGCAAACGAGAATGAAGTTTTCTTGTTCGGAGGCGAGTACTTCAATGGAGCCACAGCAAAGTTCTTCAACGATCTCATGATCTACAATATCAAGCAAGACGCCTGGAAACAAGTGACCAGCCCCAACTCGCCACTTCCTCGATCCGGACATGCATGGTGTCGTGCAGCCAACACAAAAGACATCTATCTTTTTGGCGGCGAATTCAGCTCTCCTAAGCAGGGAACTTTCTATCACTACAATGACTTCTGGAAGCTGGATCCAACAAACAGGGAATGGACGCGCATGGAAGGCAAGAGTAAGACTGCGGCACCACCAGCACGAAGCGGTCATCGCATGGT